GGGTAGGGAGGTAGAGAGAGACGAGAAGAGGTGGGAGGCGGAAATGTGTTTGAATGAGAGGCATATGCAGTGAAGTTGTGTACAACACCCTGCGGTGCAGGTTGTGTAGAAAGGGAAATCATTTTTCCTGCTGAGAAACATTCCCCCATGTGAACTTAGGTACCTCATTTGCTCACTTAGACCTTTGTCGTTTTTCTCACTCACAAATTCGTTTTCTTTCTCTTTTATCCTTTTTAATTCCATCGCTATTTGAAAACTAAATCTTAATTCTGAGTGGCCGACTGAAGAAGAGTTTCTCTTGTGGTGCTTATACGGGATATTAGGTATTTTGTGATCTATAGTTTAGTTTTGCATGGAGGATTTTTCTTTGGTAGAAGTAATAATTACACTGCGGATATGTATAAATTCAAGGCCTTACAATTTTGGTAATATTGCTCCCTTAAATCGCCAGAGAAAACCGGAATTTTGGGAATGCCAAGTGAAGTAAAAAAGAATCTTCTTTTTCTGACTCTCTTGCTCTCTTTTTGTCTCAAGGGGCTTTCTGTAATAAATGGTATGCTCCACGGTGCACACCCCATCCCATTCTTGCCATATGCCCTCCTACAATCTTCCCACATTCCCCCTGGGGAAACCTGGGCTCTCCACTGCACTTGCATTGTCAATGGAGAAAATTACCCAACTGCCAGCATATTTGTGACACTTTAGCAAGCACTGTGTCTAAGAATATGGTAGTAAAGATTGCTCTATTGGTTCTGGATCATTTAGAATCCAATTTAATCCAGGCCTCTAGGAAAAAAAAAAGTCAAATAAAAACAAATTGGCTTAATTAGGAAAGCTGAGCGGCTGTGGACTGTTTATGTGGCAGGACAGTGATTTGTCTGCCTCTATACTGTGTTCCTGTAGGGACCATATTTAATATAATAGTTATTGGGTTATACTTCTTTTAATGTGGATAGTTGAATAGAAGAAAGAAATGGTTAGAAAAACTAGTGAGAACTTAAAGTAGAGTAACTCCAGTATCTTAACTTTGCTTCCATTTATATATATTTTTTAGCTTACTGGAGAAGTAAAGACATATTTAGATTTTTCATTTTTACAGATGTATTCATTCCCATGTTTTGGTTTTGTTTATATGGAAAATATGAATATTCCTGCAGTACATAAGAGGAGGTGTAGGATATACTATGACGGATTTGCTTGACATTATCTAATGAAACACCCGATCTGCATCAGTCAGCCCTTGAGCTTCTCACTAGAGAGAGTGTTTGTCTGTGGATCCTCTGATGGTCTGTACTTAATAATGGAGATGGATTCAAACATCAG